CCCTCCTTCCCGCCGGGAAGCTGAACCCTCGCTTGGGGTCTCGCTTTTCTGCCTGCCCAGGCTGGTGTGGTGAGTTCTGAGGTGAACAAAGCCAAACCAGGAGCTGCTGAAGGACTGAGCTGGGCATGGCCCTCAGTGTGGTGAGAGCGCTGGGAGCCCCAGCCTGGCTCTGCTCTGCTCTTGGACTGGGACAGGACAGGGATTATTCTGTGGTGCTGCTGGATGGCGCCTCTGGATGCTGAACCTCCTCCCTGGTGTTTGTTTGGGGGCTGTCACCATTGTGGGATGCTGATTCACCATTGCGGTTTGGGAATGCTGATCCCTCTCCCTGGTGTTTGGGGCTGTCACCATTGGGGTTTTGGGGATGTTAATTCAACATTGGGGTTTTGGGGATGCTGATCCACCATTGGAATTTTGGGGATGCTGATCCGTCTCCCTGGTGTTTGTTTGGGGCTGTCACCTTTGGGGTTTGTGGGATGCTGACTCAACATTGGGATTTTGGGGATGCTGATCCCTCCTCCCTGGGGTTCAGGGGCTGTCACCATTGGGTTTTTGGGGATGTTGATCCACCACTGGGGGTTTGTGGGATGCTGGTCTCTCCTCCCTGGTGTTTGTTTGGGGACTGTCACCATTTGGGTTGGGGATGCTGATCCCTCTCCCTGGTGTTTGGGGCTGTCACCATCGGGATTTTGGGGCTCTCCTGAGGGAAGCAGAGCCCTGTGGCTCCGCAGGGATTGGGGATGTGCTCAGGCTCCAGCAGGGACAGCCCTGCCCACACAGCAGGGCAATGCCTGGCTCACAGCTCAGCTCCTGGGCTTGCTCTGTGCCTTGGATCACACTGGGCAGGGGCTGGGGCTGTGTGTGCCATTTGGAGATGATGTTTTACCTCATTCACAGCTCTTTGCTTGTGTTTTTCAAGTATTTTCTCTGAGTTTTACAAAATAAAGGTCAGTTTCTTTACCAGGACAGTGCCCAGCGTTGCATTTGTGCAGCACAAACAGGATCTGCTGTGGTTCTGGTTCTGGTTCCAGAGCCCAGCTCTCCTGCTGTTCCCTGCAGAGCCTTCTCCAGCACTTTTACTATCCTGCAAACTGAGTTTGCCTCTTAATCATTTTTTTCTCCCTGAAGATATCAAGGTTTCATAGGACCCAGCCTTGAGCACACATGGTGTGGATAAATAAATCACGAGGTGAGGGTAAATAAATCATTAGGTGAAGGTAAATAAATCCCTGCACACCAGGGGCTGGGTGAGGGCAGGGGAGTCATGGGGAGCATTGAACATCTCCAGGCACACAGGGATGGGGAGCAGATGTAAAACCTTGGGATGTGCTGCAGCTGAGATGGAAAATGTGCTTGTAAATGCTGTAAAATCAGCTCTTTGCTCGTTCCTGGCCCTGCCCTTTGCCAAGTCCAACAGGATCCCAGCTGCTGGAGGTGTCACAGCCCTGCAGTGCTTTGAAAATCCAAGAGTTTGATTTACTGCCCTGTCTCCCTGCACCAAGCTCCTCCAGGATCATCCCCGTGCCAATGACAACCACAGAGATGTTGCTGCCACGCTCCTGCTGTGTTCGGAAAATATTCCAACTCTTCTGCTGCCACAAGCAAATATTTGCTGTGATGAAGGGGTTCTGATGACAAACACATGTGATCTCTTTGATTCCTGCGTGTTTTCAAGATTATTTCTTCAAGTTCAGGAGCAGAGTTTAAAGACCATGATAGAGAATTCTCCTTCCCTGCATTTACTGGGTGTCAGAGCAGCTGTCAGAGCTCCCAGAGGGTGACACTGCCTTTGAAGGAGTGGGAATTTGCTCTTTTTGCAGTTTAACAACTCTGGGGCAGAATTTTCCCTCTTGGCTGAGGATCTGTGAAGGTGAGGGCAGCAGGAGCTGATCCCTGCCGTGGCAAGCTATAGACACTCACGAATGAGACGGCAAATCTGAACCAGTGTCGTGAGCTGTTTATTCAGCACGTCAGTCTCAGTGCATTGTTAGGACAATGGAGACAGGATGTTAACAGCTCTCTGATCTAAAGGAAATGCCAAGGGGGTGTTGCATTACAGCATAGCATAAAGCCATCTCAGCCTAGGTTTCAGCTAATCACACATAGAGCAAAACATATTGACAAAAATTCTATCTAATCATGTGAAACACACATAATGATAGTTAACACAATAGCTCGTTCATGAGAGGCAAAGCACAGAGATGCATTCATGCTAACCTTGTAAAGATATACATTAAATAACCTTGTTGCAATCTACGAAGACACATTACAAAAGTCCATTGTGCTGTTTCTCACGTCTGCTCTACTGCTCAGAAAACTTTTCGCTGCATTAGCAATGTACACAAATCTGCTGTCAGAAGCCTGCCTTTTGAACCACTTTCTCAAAACCCTCTGATTTTATGAACGCCAGCAATCCCCACCAGGACACCTGGGAACAGCAACTTCAGGCCCTGAGAAGAAGGGCAAGAGAAGAGACAATCAGCGGGGCTGGGCGCTGAATCGCTGCTCAGTGGGAGCAGCGGGCTCTGCTCGGTCCCGGCTCGGCCACGCCGCTGCCACGTGGAGCAGGAGGCGCTGCCGCCAGCCGGGGCTGTGCGGGGCACGTGGAGCGCGGCAGGAGTTGCTCAAGAGGCGCCTTTTTCTGAGCTGCCCAACGAAAACAGGCGGAGCAGCAGCGCGGCAGGGGCCGTTCTGGTTCGTCCTGCTGCTGGGGATGCCCGTGAGCGTGTCTGTGATAAACCCCGGATTGTAGTGGATGATTAACCGGGCTCCAAAGCCATCCCATAACAGAGGAGAGGCAGCAGCACGTGCTGCGCCCTGCCTGGAGCGGGGAAGGAGCTGCTGTGGAGGGGACAGCCAAGGAACAGCTCTGGGAGGATGAGCCCTGGGGGCTGCAGCGCTGCCTGAGCCAGCTGGGCCGCAAGGTAGGACAGGGAGCAGCATTTTGTGTGCAGTTTGTCTGCAGGGAGGTGGTGGGGTTCAGCTGCAGCTCCCTGGTGCCACAGCTGCTGGGCAGCACCTCTGGCTGTGCCACCCCAGCTGCAGCTCCATGGGCTCTGCTTGTCTGTATGTCCAGATATGGGGGAAATTGGCTCATTGTATTGTACCAGATTGGGGGAAAATCTGCCCCTTCTCCCTGGAGAATTGGGCAGCACCTCTGGCTGTGCCACCCCAGCTGCAGCTCCATGGGCTCTGCCTGTCTGTATGTCCAGATATGGGGGAAATTGGCTCATTGTACCAGACTGGGGGAAAATCTGAACCTTCTCCCTGGAGAACTGGGCACCACCTCTGGCTGCTGCAGCTCCATGGGCTCTGCTTGTCCATGCACAGATATGGGGGAAATTGGCTCATTGTACCAGACTGGGGGAAAATCTGAACCTTCCCCATGGAGGGGTGAGCCTGTGCCCCTCTCACTGGGCAGCACCTCTGTCTGAGACCGCATCTGGTGGAAGAACATCTGTCACTGGTACCAGAGCTGGGAGAGAATGAAATTGCAGCTGTGGGGAGTCAGGCAGGGAAGGGGATGATCAATCAGTGCCGGACCCTGGCAGGGTTTGTTTGGGAGTCTCAGGAGGGGTTTCTCTGTGCAGGGCAGTCCATGCACCTGTGGCTGCTGGGAGAAGCCGTGCTCAGCATCTGTGATCCACACACCCAGCAGCATGAAAGGAGGGAAGCAGGACAGCTCCGAGGGCACCCAGGGTGCCAGGGGGGTGAGTATGGTGCCTGCCTGTCCCCAGGGACACGGGGACACCTGGGGGGACCTGTGACGAGAAGAAAGACCCTGATTTTGGGCTGAGAGGTTTCTGTTTTGAGCCCGGTTTGTGTCTGCCTGCAGTGCTGCACTGAGTGATTGTCTGCAGCTCTCCCACCCCATAACTGCTGTGGGACTTTTCCTTCTGTGTCGCTTTTCCTTCTGTGGGACTTTTCCTTCTGAGTCACTTTCCCCTTCTGTGTGTGAGTTTTCTTCCCTATTTTCCAATCAGTTTTTGCTGCAGGTGCTCCTGGACGGGGCTGCCTTTCCCAAAGAGGAGTCTTGCCCAAAGCACTGCTGGGGAGTGCCAGAGGTTTTGTTGCAAGTGCTGGATGTCAATGATTTACACCAGTGGCTCTTGTGAGCTCCTGGGATCTGGTTAATGAGAGCGAGGAGCTGCTTTTCTTCACCCATGAGGGAATGTCAGCAGCCTCCTCCCAGAAAATGGAACTGGAAGCCTGAGCCTCCTTCCAGACCTGAATTTTGATCTCCTGTAACACCTTAAACCCTGCAGGTCCCTGGAGCTGGGCTGCCAGGGATGCTGAGGGACAGAAAAGAGCTCCAGCAGCAATTTGGACAAATGTTCAATTAGGGAAGGGACAGAGAACTCGTGTGGGACCTGAGCTGAGAGCTGGGACAGAAATCCTGGCAGCCATCAAGGCCATTAGGGCTGGAGAGGGTGGCAGCAAATGAGATTAAAATGAAAAATGGCTTTATTGACGTAGCAGCAGCGAGATGCATTAGTGAGCTGTAAAACCCAGCCAAAGAAAACCCCAACAACCCAACTCTGTCAACACAGCCCGGGGCCGAGCTGCAGCTGAACTGCTGGCAAAAGGGAATTGTTCTGGAGGTTTGTGGGCCTGGGGAATGTGTGCCCACGTCGGGGCGCCGATCCTGCTCAGATGGCAATCCCCTCCTCTGTCCCAGGGCAAAGTGCAGCTCCTGTGCCCTCAGCAAGCCCTGGGGGTTGCCTGGATAAATTCTAATTGGCTTCAGTGGCAATCAGTTGGATCCATAAATAGCTCTGTCCCAAAATGCAGAGGAAAAAAAAACAACAGGAAAGGGATTTGGCCATTTAATGCAAAAATCACTTCTTTTTAAGGCTTTCCTGTGCCAATATCCTGTATTATCGCAGTGCTCAATTTGCACATTGGAAAAGGATAATTGCATAAACCTTGTTCCCTGCACGGTGGTGTTTTAAGAATGGTAACTTGGAAAAAAATTAATCATCCAAATGACTCATCAATAGCAGCAAAGCAGAGTGAATTACTCTAATGGCTATGGGCATATCAAGCAGAACAAAATGAGCTGTAATGGAAACAACCCATTGGGCTTTAAATGCAGCAAAATGAAGGGAAAACACAGAAAGCAAGGCTTTGTGTATTCCATTGTTTTTACTGATTGTTATTAATGCCTCAGAGCCACTTCCAGGGGGGTGCTGATGGTTCTTCTCCCCCTCTGCAGAAGATGACGCTGCCCCTGGCCCTGGTGGCTCTGATTTCTGCCTTTGGCTCTTCCTTCCAGTACGGCTACAACGTGTCTGTGATCAACTCTCCTGCCCCGGTGAGTGCCTGAGGGCCCCGGGCAGGGCCGGGGTTATGCAAATTCAATTAATTGAATTATTTGAAAAATAATTATGAAAAATTATTTGTGGGGGGCTATCATTTTTACCCCAGGTTTCTCCATCCTCCTCCTCCCCAGGCTTCTCCATCCTCCTTCATCCCAGGCTTCTCCATCCTCCTCCTCCATCCCTCCCTTGCACTCATTTCCAGCTCAGCCATCCCATTTTTCCTCAGGACAGTTGTTTTATGGCAGGGTTTTATGGCAGAGCTTTATGGCCCTGAGCTGCTGTTATCTAACCCTCCCAGCACAGGGATTGTCCCTCTGTGCCAAATCTGCTCTGTGCTTCCTTCCAGTACATGCAGGACTTCTACAACAGCACCTACCTGGAGAGGACAGGGGTGCCCATGGACAGGGGCTTCCAGACCCTGCTCTGGTCACTCACAGTGTCCATGTTCCCCCTGGGTGGCCTCTTTGGGTCACTCCTGGTGTGGCCCATGGTCAACAACTGCGGCAGGTGGGTGAGAGGCCCTGCCCTCCTTTTGGAGAGAATATTGTGGGAACCCCACCTTGCCCAGCCCTTCAGCTGCCTGAAATTCCCTCTCTCTCACACCTTGGGGCTGATGGAGAGCAGCTGGGCTCAGCCCTAAGGGTTGTGTCCCCATAGGGAAGGGATTTATGGGGTTCTGGTATGGCCTGGGCTCAGCCACAAGGGTTGTGTCCCCATAGGGAAGGGATTTATGGGGTCCTGAAATGGCCAGGGAGAGCAGCTGGGCTCAGCCACAAGAGCTGTCCCCCATTGGGAAGGGATTTATGGGGTTCTGGTATGGCCTGGGCTCAGCCACAAGGATTGTCTCCCATTGGGAAGGGATTTATGGGGTTCTGGTGTGAGCTGGGCTCAGCCCCAAGGGTTGTCCCCCATTGGGAAGGGATTTATGGGGTTCTGGTGTGAGCTGGGCTCGGCCACAAGGGTTTTCTCCCCATTGGGAAGGGATTTATGGTGTTCTGGTGTGAGCTGGGTTCAGCCACAAGGGTTGGTTCCCCATTGGGAAGGGATTTATGGGGTTCTGGTATGGGTTTGGCATGGAGTCAGTGGGCAAAGAAAGTCCTGGGGTCAGATCAGGCCCAGCTTCTGCTGCTCAGGCTTCCTGAGAAATTTCACTTTGTTCTGGAGGCCTTCATTGCCTGCAGGAAAAATGTGGCCATTGCCATTTCCTCCTTGAGCAGTGTTTGGCACGGTGATTAATTTGAGTTTTGGACAGAGGGGATCTCTGTGCAACTCAGCAATGCCCAGCTGGATCCTCTCTCCTGCTGCTCCCTTGCAGAAAGGGCACTTTGCTGATAAATAACCTCTTCTCCATCGCTGCTGCCATCCTCATGGGGACCTCAGAGCTGGCAAAAAGCTTTGAAGTGATCATCCTTTCCCGTGTTCTCGTGGGAATATTTGCTGGTAAGTGGGTGGTGAAGGGGGAGCAGTAAATATTTCCTTGGCTGTGTAAAGGTGTTTTATTCCCCCAGCAGATGCTCCCACAGGTATCTCACTTTGGGATCTGCATGACAAGGCTGCACTTTAGCCTGGTGCAGAAGGACCGAAGATCTTTGGGAGATAATGGGAGTGGAATTTGAGCTGCAGGGAGGAGATGTGTGTCTGTAAATGCAGCAATAAACATCTGCTGGCACTGCAGCTCCAAACCTGCTGAGGATAATCTGTTTTCCCAGACAACTTGAAGCAGATAGTCTGCTTCTTTCCTTTTTAACAGAACCAGAATAATCCATCAAAAGCATTGCCAGATCCAATAATCCAGCCCTGGAACTGGCTGTTCTTCCTGCAGCAGAAAAGAAATGTTAAAAGGGAGAGCAAAGGGCTCAGAGCGCCCGGGTTTCCTGCAGAGGGAGGGAATCAAGGATATCTGTGTGTTCCTGCTGGATTGGCAGTGCTGGAGCTGCAGGAACAGGACAGAACCATGCTGGGTGCCCTGAGCACAGCCAGGCCTGTAAGGGTCCTAAGAGCATTTAGGCTCAGTTAATTGGCTTTGGGCTGGTGAGGCTGGCACACTCCATGGTTTGTTAATGAGCTGGGCTGGCTTGTGAAAACAAATTTCCTGCCTTAGCTGGCCAATTGTAATTGCTGCATGCACAGATCAATTTGCTTTCCTGAGCCAGTTTCTTGTTTTCCTTTTTTTTTTTTTTCAATCCAATGGTTTTACCTTGGCTTTTGACTCCCTTAAACCTGGCAGCTGCCCTCAGCACGGAGCTTGGGATAAATGCTAAGGGTCCTGTTAAATGTGATCCCTCTCTGCAGTTATTTATAACCCACAAATCCAGCCTGGCTGCCCTGGCTTGTCCTTCTCAGGCTGGCCTGGCCTGAACCGGGGCTGGGGAGCACCCAGGGCTGGCACCCCCTGGCACTGTGGTGGCTCTGGTTTCTGTGCCTTTAGGTGTGACAGTGGCCACAGGGTGAGGGGAGAGACGAGAATGTTGACTCTGTGTTTTAGAAGGTTAGATTTATTATTTTATGATATATATATATTACATTATAACTACAGTAAAGAGAATAGAAGGGAAAAGTTCATCTCAGAAGGCTGGCTAAGCTAAGAATGGAATAGAATAGAATAGAATAGAATAGAATAGAATAGAATAGAATAGAATAGAATAGAATAGAATAGAATAGAATAGAATGGAATGGAATGGAATAATAACAAAAGCAGCTGGCTCAGACAGAGAGAGAGAGCCAGCTCTGCTGTGACTGGTCACTAAATTTAAGCATTTACACGAGACCAATCACAGATTTACCTGTTGCATTCCACAGCAGCAGTTTTACATGTTGTTCCTGGAGCTTCTCAGCTTCTCAAGAAGAAAAAATCCTAAGAAAGGATGCGACATTTAGGCCCTTCAGCTTTCAAATACCAGCCTGATTACCTTTGGCTCCTGGAGCCCAGGGGCTCTGGAAAGGTCAGATGAGAGTTGCCTGTGGTCATTTGATCCCAGGAGTTTGGGAGCTGCAGGATTGGCAGCACAGGGGCTGGCTGGGGTCACTGTGAGCAGCCCTAGAATGTTCCTAAAAATAACCCGAGTCCCTGGTGCCCTTATTAGAGCATAAACACCCATTCCAGCAGGCCACCTGCAAGGCATCACAGGCCAGCCAAGCCCTCAGCACGGCCTCAGCCAGCAGGGAAGGTCTAAATCCAACACAGAGCCATTTCCTTCCACTTTCACACCAGCGTGTCTGGGTGCTGATTTCTCTCCTTGCTTTAGAGGAAGCAAAAGGTTCCTCTCTTGTATTTGGAGTTGGTTTCCAAACCTGGAGCAGCACAGATTTCCTTTGTGTGCCTTGTGCTGCTCCTGGCAGAGCCTGCTGGGGGAAGCTGCATTCGGGGGGATGAACACTGAACACTCCAACCAAGAAACCCCCAAATATCTGCTGGCTCTGCAGGCAAGGCAGGCTCCTGCTCACCCTGGCACACTCCACAAGTGCTTTGCTGCCCAGAGCTGATAACCCAGGCACTCAAAGCAGAAGGGTTTGGCTGTGAAGTTTGCACCCTGTGGTTCATCAGGGATCTGTTTTGCGGCCCATGGGCAATCAGCAGCTGGCTGAAGGCTGAGCTGCATGTCTGACGCTGCTCCCAATTTGTCTAGGTAGTGGCAAAGAAGCCAAGAAAATAGGAAAGAAACAAGAAGAGAGCAAAAGAGTTAGCTTCAGTGTGCAAGCTTTTTCTGGAAGTAGTCTGCTAGAAAAAGGAACCCCCAGTTGAGTTTCCAATGTGTTCATGCACTTGATTCAGTAACTGGCCAATGTAAAAACCAATCCTTTTGTACAACTCTTGACTTCTAGGCCTGGCTTCCAACGTGGTTCCCATGTTCCTCGGAGAAATGTCCCCCAAGAACCTGAGAGGAGCTGTGGGGGTGGTGCCGCAGCTCTTCATCACCATTGGCATCCTTGCAGCCCAGATCCTGGGGCTGCACAGCATCCTTGGCAATGCCAGAGGTAAAGCTGCGGCCCAGGGCCTCTCCAGGCTGCCCAGGGTGAGGATTTCCCTCTCTGACTGCTGTGACCTTGCTGCAGGGTGGCCTGTGCTGCTGGGGCTCACCGGGATCCCGTCCCTGCTCCAGCTCCTGGCACTGCCCTTCTTCCCCGAGAGCCCCAGGTACCTGCTCATCCAACGGGGCTCCGAGGAGCAGGCACGGACAGGTACGGCCCCACGCTGTGCCCTGCTGCCAGGGCAGGGCATGGGGCTGCCAGGGCAGGGGGCTGGGAAGGGATGGGGCTGGCTGTGGGATGGGCTAGCAGCACCACAAGGGTGGGAAAAGGGAGCTGGGAGGGGATGGGTCCTGTGACCATGTTCACAGGGGTTTACAGGATGAGGGAAGAGACATAGATCTGACTCCATGTTTCAGAAGGCTTGATTTATTATTTTATAATATATATATTACGTTATACCTATAGTAAAAAGAATAGAAGGAAAAGGTTCATCTCAGAAGGCTAGCTAAGAATGGAATGGAATGGAATTAGAATAGAATAGAATAGAATAGAATAGAATAGAATAGAATAGAATAGAATAGAATAGAATAGAATAGAATAGAATAGAATGATAACAAAGGCAGCTGGCTCAGACAGAGAGAGAGCCAGCTCTGCTGTGACTGATCACCAAATCCAAACATCCACAAGAGACCAATCACAGATCCACCTGTTGCATTCCACAGCAGCAGATAACCATTGTTTGCATTTTGGTCCTGAGGCCTCTCTCAGCTTCTCAGGAAGAAAAAATCCTAAGAAAGGATTTTCATAAAGAGATGTCTGCGACAGGGTCTGGCTGTGGGACAGGCTGGCAGCACAAGGGTGGGAAAAGGGAGCTGGGAGGGGATGGATCTGGCTGTGGGATGGAGAAGGGAGCTGGGAGGGGATGGATCTGGCTGTAGGATGGGCTGGCAGCGCCACGAGGGTGGGAAATTCTCCACTGCTGGGGGTGGAATTCTCAGGACACTGCTCCTTTCCTGGGTGTGGGGATGCCCAGGTGCCCAGCGCACTGCCCAGGTGCCCACCCTGCTGTGTCCTGCTCTGAAGCAGCACAGCTCTGCAGCCCTGGGGCTGTCCCTGTGCTCTCCCCACCAGCTCTGCAGAGGCTGAGGGGCTGGCAGGACGTGGAAGAGGAGATTCAGGAGATGTACCAGGAGGATCGCTCCGAGAAGGAGGAGGGGCAGTTCTCTGTGCTCAGCCTGTTCACCTTCAGGGGCCTCAGGTGGCAGCTCATCTCCATCATCGTCATGATGGCAGGGCAGCAGCTCTCGGGGGTCAACGGGGTGAGTGGGGAGGCACAAACAGGGCTGGAGCCTCAGAGAGGGGCTGGGGGCACAAACTGGGGCTGGGGGCACAAACAGGGCTGGAACTTCAGAGGNGTAGCGCATGCCGTCGATGGTGTGCTCCGAGCCGCTGCTCTCCAGGTCCAGCCCTCCCCAGTGCAGGTGCATCTGCACAGCTGTGTACACACCTGGCAGCCCTCGGGAGATGCTCATGGTGGGTGGCAAGTCGATCTGAACTGAAGGAGGACAGGGTTGGGGGCAGCAGCGGGGGCAGCCTTGCCCATCCCTGTGGTGGCGCCTCCTGGAAGGAGCAGGCACCGTCACCACCCCGGTGTGGGAGGGGAAACAGGGAAATTTAGAACTTTGTGTGCTTAAAACCTTTCCTGGGCTCAGGCTGGTGCAGGCACAAGCAGGACTGGGCATCCCCAGCTGTGCCTGCAGACCCCTTCTCCCCCTGAGGGCTCTGGGTTTGGCAGCAGGCATTAATGAAAGCTTCAGTGCTCAGCTCACCCAGCTCAGCACATCTGGCACAGGTCTGTTAAGCAATTCCTATCCAAGGCAGAAAAAGGGAATAGGAATCAACACAGCCATCTGTTATCACAATTCCAGTGAGGCCCAGCCACTCTGGGAACGCCCTGCAGGTTTGAAAAGGCTGTGTCACTGCTGAAGGGTTTGTGGAGACAAACCTCTTTTCTTCTCCTTGCCAAGGAGAAGGCACAAACCCTTTGTCTTCCTGCTGATTCCCTGCCAGAAATCATAGATTATGTTAATATATCTAGGAGTGGAAGTGGAGAATTGCCTCATCTAAATGAAAGCCCCCAGCATGTTACAAAAACTAGCAACTATCCTTGCAAAATGCAGCACAACATATTATTAATTAGTCATAGTTTGGGTTTCTGAGGAGTTTCTTTTGTTTGCGAACTGTTTATAGACAGACAAGACGAAAGCATGTTTCCTTTTAATATCCCAAAGGCTCTAGAGTGGGAAGGATAACATAATCTACCTTTTTCATAAGTTCCCTGCTGACTGCCTTCCATAACGAGGGTTATTTACTTCAAGCACCTCACCAGGGTTTCTACTTTCTACAAAACACAGCCAGGGAATTGTGCTGTGAGTTTGTAACAAGCTTGAGGCTCCTCTAAGACGTTCCAGGCAAATATTTGCTGCAAGCAGGAGGTGGGGAGCAGCCTGGCTTGCTTCTGCTTTTCTCCCACGTGGAGTGTGAGTGGGGAGTGTGAGTGGGGAGTGTGAGTGNGCCCCTTCACCCAGGACATGCCCAGGGTCACACAGGGCTGGGTCAGGCCTGGCCAGTTCCAAATCCAGGACAAGGTGCAGGCTCAGTGCCCTGTTAATGATCACTGGAGTGTTTCTGGAGCAAAGTGCCCACATCCCAGCCAGAGATGGACAGATTCCATCCTCGGGCTTCTGTGCACCAGTGCCAGCACTTAAAGCAGTCCCCATGCCCTGCCTCAGGCCGTGCAGTAACACAGCTGTGGTTCTGCTGCAGGTGTTCTACTATGCAGACAGGATCTTCGAGTCAGCAGGGGTGCACAGCAGCAGCATCCAGTATGTCACCGTGTCAATAGGTGCCATCAACGTGGTCATGACTCTGCTGGCTGTAAGTTTGTGCTGCGGCTCTCTGAGCTCTCCCCTGCCCCTGTTTAAATTAGGTTGTGCTCATGGAATCCTTCCAATCCAATGGTTTGGGTTGGAAAGGACCTTAGAGATCATCTCATCCCACAAACCTTCCACTGGAGTGTTATTTGCACACTCTGGGAGGCGTTTTCCACGACAGATGCCCTGTGGTGTCCCTTGGACAAAAGCATCTGCAGCAATTGCTGAGCCCCTGGTGTCTGCCCCTCTCCTGTCTCCTCCAGGTTTTCATTGTGGAGTCCCTGGGGAGGAGGATCCTCCTCCTGGCTGGCTTTGTGCTGTGCTCTGCCTCCTGTGCAATCCTAACCCTGGCCCTCAACCTGCAGGTGTGTATGGACGGCTCAGCTGGTCCCTCCCACGATTTCTGTGCCTGATCCTGGCACTGAAGGGTGGCCCTGCCCTGGGACGCCCTCAGACCTCGCTGTGAGCAGCTCCCTGCGTGTGCAGGGCATGCTCAGCCACCCCTCAGCTGTGCTGCCCTCCTCACAGAGCTCTGTGTCCTGGATGTCCTACCTCAGCATAGTCTGTGTCATTGCCTACATCATTGGACACGCCATCGGACCCAGTAAGTGCCCACAGCCTCCCCCAGGAGCTGGGTAAAGCCAGGTGCTGCCTTCAATGTCCAACCAAAACCTTTGTGGGGCTCATCCAGAGGGGCTCAATTTCACCTCTGCGTGGCCATGCCCTGCGCAAGCCATTTCATTGCCCTGTTTTTTCCTTTAAATTGAATCCTTATTTGATTTGCTGAGGGCTGAAGCCACTGAGATGAGCAGTGTAGTGAGGAGCTCAGGTGAGGGCCCTCCCTGAGGGGTGCTCAGCTGCAGCTGCCCTGCAGGTCCCATTCCTGCTGTGATGATCACCGAGATGTTCCTGCAGTCGTCGCGGCCCGCGGCGTTCATGGTGGGCGGCTCTGTGCACTGGCTGAGCAACTTCGCCGTGGGGCTGCTCTTCCTCTACATGGAGGTAAGAACCCAGCACAGGGCTCGGGCCTCCTCACCCCTGTGCTCTTGCAGAGAGGCTTTGGGAGTGTGGATGCATTTGTTGGTTCCAAATCCCCTGTGTGGGATGTGTTACAGGCAGGACTCTGATGCTGCTCAGCACTGTCTCATCACACCTGCCTGTTGCACAGGCTTTAAAAGAAAGCAGTTTGATTGCCAGGTCTCATCCTGAGCTCAGGAGCTTGGCAAAGATGGCAAATTCCCCATTTTCCCCTGCAGGATGTGCCTTGAAGGGACAGTTTTAGGTTCTGAAATCTGGATGTCCAGGTAAACTGCTCCCACAGCAGTGACCACAAACTGCTGCAGGCCCTGACTTCACCCTGGGCAGAGGCAGCTGCTGAGTTTTGTGTGAGTTACACAGCAGACCCTCAGCCTCCTTTCCCAGTGAGTTTCCAATGAACCCCTGGTGCTGGTTGGAGAATACAGAATCTAAAACCTCCCCAGCTTTGGGTTGTTCAGGCTAAACCACGAGCACCTCACCGTGGCAGCATTTCCACAGGCAGGGCAGGGCAGGGCCAGAGCAGGCATTCCCAGCTGGAATGCTGGGATTCTAAAGACAGAATTTTGACAGCATTTCCACAGGCAGGGCAGAGCAGGGCCAGAGCAGGCATTCCCAGCTGGAATGTGCCCTGAGCCCTGCTCTCTCCTGTCCCTGCCCCAGGCTGGGCTGGGGCCCTACAGCTTCCTCATCTTCTGTGCCATCTGCGTGGCCACCCTGCTCTACATCTTCTTCATCGTTCCCGAGACCAAGAATAAAACCTTCATGGAAATCAACAGGATTATGGCCAAGAGGAACAAAGTGGAGGTGCAGGAAAGCCAAGAGCCTAAAGATTCCTACCCCCTGAAGGTAGGAAGGCAGGAAGAGAAGAAATCGCTCTCCAGCACTGAGATGTGAGCCAGCTGTGTTTGGCCTGACAGGATCTGTTCAGCAGGAACACAAATCCAGGGATTCCTCCTTTGATGCTGATCTGACAATCAGAACTGTTAAGGCTGGAAAAGACATCTAACATCAAATCCAAAGCTAATGCTGCCAAATCCTCCTCTTGTTCCAAGGAAAAGGAAATGTCCTCAGCCAGCTCAGTCTGTGACCAAGGAGCTGATGAGTGTCCCGGTGTTTGTCCTGGTGGCACATCCAGGGGACACACGGCAGCCCTTGGGCTGGGTGGGGGCAGTTGTGTGCAAGGAGAGCCCTAAACTCCTCTGGGGAACTGTCACTTGTGTGTTTGAGGGTCCAGCAAGGGAAATTAAATTCCATTTGGTATGTCAGTGTGCAGCCCTCTGTTCTGACAAAAGCAGAACTGTTGAGCAGCTTGGCATGGGTCTTGTGTAGTAGATGGAGAATCCCTCACATGATTTACTTTAACCTTAGCAAATCAGTTTATAGCTGCAATATACCTGTGCTCAAGTTTGTGATACGAGTGTTGGAAAAGGAGCTGTTTCCATGCTCTGTCTCTGCATCCCCTACAGAAAAGAAGGGCAAAGTTGTGCCACAGGCCAGGGCACAGGGAGCGCACAGGACCTGGGAGCTGCCCGGCCACAGCTCCACATCTGCTCCTGTGGATACAACTGCAAGGGAAGGGTGCTGAGTTGGTGCTGACAAACAGGAGGAGAGACAAGCAGGGAGGATGGCGAGAAACTGAGACTGGGAGATGGATGGGAGAGAAATTTTATTTGAGAAAGCAGCTCATTTGAGCAGAGAGCAGCTCTTTGGCATGAAAAAAAAATCTGTGTACGGAGATCTAAATCAACCCCCTAGAGAGATGTAACAAGCCAGGGTGCTGGACTGTGCCAGATTCTGCAGTTCATTGCTTTTATCTCACAGATGGAGGTTTTGGTCTCTTGGAAAAACACCCTGGAGCACCAGGAGTGCATAGCGAGCCTACAAAGCAGGAGGGGAAACAAGCAGA